GAGAGAGAGATGGAGAGAGAGGGGGAGAGAGAGACGGAGAGAGAGGGGGAGAGAAAGACAGAGAAGGGGAGAGAGAGACAGAGAGAGAGGGGGAAGAGAGAGAGGGGGAGAGAGAGAGGGGGAGAGAGAGACAGAGAAGGGGAGAGAGAGACAGATGGCTTAATGTATTCTGGTAGGAATCCCTACACAAAATACCCCAGTTATGAAAGGGTTAATATTGAAAGATCCCCAGCAACACATGACAACACGCGATTTTGCGTTAATCTCTTTTCTTAGAAGATTTTTCTTTTTTTTTTAAACCCAAGAAAATAAAAGCAGCAAGTGGGATAAAATTTAAAAAAAAGAAATGAATAAAAAGAGACCAACTAAGAGACTGAACGGCGAGGACGTCACACCCTCCTGAGTGGGAGAGAGAACGTGAGCTCCTTGTTGCCAAGACAGCTGCTGTTGCCGTGGAAACCACACAATAACAAGGATCCTCGGCGGCGACGTAGAAAACTCACCTGCACCGTGATCCCCTTATTCCTGTATTCTGCATGGAGACCCCGGGAGAAGAAATCCACAAACGCCTGGCAGAGAGGGGGATACAAAAGGGGAAGGGAGATCATTTAATGATGTTCATCATGAGGCATCGTGTTTTCTTCTATTGGTTACAAAATAGTTTTTAAAAAAACAAGAAATGTAACAAACATGGACAATGAACATAATTTAGCTAAAATATACATTATAGGATCAAAAGATTGTGGACACCCCTCCAAATGGTTGAGTTCAGCTGTCTCCATTGAAGGGTATGGTTAATGCTACAGCATACAAAGACATTTTGGAGAATTGTGCACCTTCTGGGGATAGTTTGTTGAAGGTCCTGTTCTGTACCAGCATGACTGTACCCCTGTGCACAAAGCCAGCTTCATAAAGACATGGTTTGATGAGGTTGGTGTGGAGGAACTTGAGTGGCCTCAACAGAGCCTGGATCTCTCAACCCTACTGGGATGAATTGGAACCCCAATGGTAAACCAGGACTTCTCCAACATGAGTACCGGACGCCACAATGGGCACCAGTTCCCACAGACGTCCTCCAAAATCTTGCAGAAAGCCTTCCCAGAAGATTGGAGGCTGTTATAGCCACAAATAAGGGGCAACTCCATATTAATGACCATGGCTTTGGAATGGGATGTCCAACAAGCTCATGAAGTCGTGATGATCAGGTGTCCACAATCTTCTGACCATAAAGTGGAACTCTCCATCTTCATATCACCATATTAATTGACGCCGTTTTCTTAGTCTGTAAAACCTCAAGCTGCAAAAGGCACAGCCAAGAAAGTCCAGGTAGCGTGTAAAATCAGTCAATGAACAGCTCTGGCTATAACACTGGAACAGTGCTAAGCAAGAAATTCATTGAGGTTACCCCAGTCAAGATTCAAAATTAAGCTTTGAGGAGCATACAAGGAACACGGAGCCGGACCGTCCGGGTGG